TCTCCCACACAGTGATGCGGTACACGGGGGTAATGCACTCCCTTCGCCGCCATCTTCCTCGGAAACATAAAAATAATTGAATTTTTAACTCAAAACTGATAATAAGGAACCCAAATAATAAGCTATGATTGCTAGATTGCCGCAGTCTGGCTGGGCACAATCAGAAGCCACTTGTCAAAAGAAACTAACTTTATTTTTAGAACCACACACGCCAAACAAAACAGCCTCTCAGGAAAAATCCTCAGAGCCTCAACTGCCACCACCGGCTTTCCACAAGCCTGTCTCTCCCACACAAGCTTCTTTCCACCTCCCCCAATCCTCCTGCTCTTGAGGCCGATTGGCTGGGTCACGTGGGCAGAGCCAAAAAGTCCCCCAGTGAGCAGCTCCGTGGTCTGAAAGGGCAGGGAAACAGTCCAATAAGCATCACCGCAGAGGAGCCAATCAGCTAGATGTTGCTGGGGCCGAGGAGCCAATCAGCTAGATGTTGCTGGGGCCGCTGTGAGCCAATCATCAGCCGGCAGCTGGATTGCTGGCAGCTGGAAGTTTGCTGGGGCCCCTTCGGCTGTGGCTCTCACCACTAGATATCCTAAAATAGAAGTTTAAAGAAAATAGGTGAAAGTTTTAAAATTCAAACCAAATGAAGAGTGAGCCTTTATTTTATAATCTACCTATTTAACATTTGAAACCCTAAGAATTATGAGGGTGTCTAAAAGCTTCTTTTCCTCATATAAATCAGTAGAAAACATTTCAAAAGTCATATATATGGAGAGGCAGCCACTTTATAAAACAGTCCAGAAGCACCTCAAAAGGTTAAAGGTACATTATGTAGTAACTCTACCTCTAAGGATATAATCATGATAAATGAAACTTATGTTGTTGCAATGTCTTATATATGAATGTTCATAGCAGCATTATTCATAATAGTAAAAAAAACAGGACAATCCAGATGTCCACTACTGATGAATGAACAAAGAAAATGTGGTATATCCATAAAATTAATATTTTCTACCATGAAAGTTCTGATACATACTACAAAATGGATAGACTTTAAAACATTATGCTAAGTGAAAGAAGCCAGACAAAAAAAGGCTTCTTATTTTAAAATCCATTGAAATGTCCAGAATCAGGCAAATCTATAAACAGAAATTAGGTTATTTGTTGTGTAGGGCTGGGGAACAGGACAGGCTGAAGGAATAGGAAATAACTCCTAATTGGCATTAGTATGTACAGAGTTCCTGTTTAAGACAATGAAAATATTCTCCAACTGATGATGGTGATGGCTGTACAACTCTATCAAAATCATTGAATTATACACTTTAAATTACATGTAAGTTGTGCATTGATCAAAACCAAATGGTATATGAATATATGAATTAATCTCAATAAAGATATTATTTAAAAAATATAGCAGATGCAATTTTAGCTTCACCTGGGTTTTTTAAAAAGCTATCCTAAAACACATTTTTTTTTTTTATTTTTAGGTGGACACAATACCTTTATTTTATTTTTACGTAGTGCTGAGGATCGAACCCAGTGCCTCATGCATGCCAGGCGAGTGTGCTACCACTTGAGCCACATCCTCAACCCTAAAACACATTTTTAAAATTCATTTGTCAGAATAATTGAGCTGCCTAGCATTTTGCCAAGTTAAGGGCCAGACATGATAAACCTAGAGTAATCATGGAAAAACTGCAGCCCTTAGAGAGAGTTCTGTTTGATGTGAGTTGTGATGTGTCAGCACAAAGGAAAGACAATGCCACAAAGAAAGTCTTATGGCCTTTTGTTTTCTCTATCTTCTGCCATGGAGAAGTATCCTAATTCAGTGATGAGACAAATGTCAAAAAACTTACACATAAGCTGATTTTTATCAATCCTGAAAATTTACCTTCCCATTTGTTCACTAAGCTATAACCACACAGGTCTTCCTAATATGTTTTGATGCATTCAAGATACCTTGGGCCCTTCATACCTGCTATTCTCTTTGAGTCCTCACTCATCCTCAGGTCTCTGCCCAGCAGGCTCTGTACCATACACCTTGTCTCTCATTACTGTTTTATTTTCTCACAACACATGAAATTCTCATGTGTTTATCAATTCTTTTTTTTTTTCTGTCTCTTATTATGTTCCATAAGGACAGACACTCTGGCTCTCTTGTTCTCCAATACAGATCTGAACCTACAACACTTCTGGACAGGCAGTAGGTACTTGACAGATATTCTTTGAGTAAATGATCTCCATGGTACAAGTCATATCCAACTTCCATAAACAACAGCTGAAAGGTCAATCTCTGTGCCTTGACATCACACCTTTTCCAGGAGTCCAAGGGCACTGACACACTGCAGATCCGTTTATAGCCACCTCCTGGCTGAAAGGGCAGTGGCTCATACTGGAAACACAGTTGGCCCCTAAGGACTTCCCGTGCTTTCAGACTGATCTTCCCTCACCCTGGTCCCAGGTCAAATGGCGGGGCATGTTCAGGAGCCTCTCCCTGTGGGTTTATAAATAAGTCTGCCCTCATGGCTGGTTTTATACTGGCCCACATGGCATCTTGCCCTCAGTGTGCTCAGTTAATAGGACTGGTCCCAGAAAGATCAGCAAACCATCATGCAGAGAACAATCCAGGACAACTGGGGTATAAGAGGCCACACAAATAACAGTTCAACCCATCATGCCCCAGGGTTAGGAAATGTCCATTCTTACTAGAATTGCTACGTGATTTATTGTTCTTGTATGTCTGTCATTTAAATCAAGTGGATACCTAAAACTAGACTATTTACAACCTTTGTCACTTAGTTCTTCACAAATTAATGAGTGCTGTTACAATTTTCAATTAATGCTCAGTTTGTCTCTATTTGGTGTATGTTTAAATATGCAGTACCACTGAAAATTTAGTTGAGAATCAGTTAAGGAACGTGTCTCAAAGGTCCGATTCCTTCCACACTTCATTAGGTCCTCGTGAAACCTTGCATTAATGATTGGGCCAAATCTGAGAAGACAGTCATCACATGGAAGAAATTAGAATTTTGTTAAGTATGTGTGTCCAATATAAAAATCAAAAAGTGAGCCAGGTGCGATAGCATACACCAGTAATCCCAGCAACTAGGGAGGCTGAGGCAGGCAGATTGCAAGTTCAAGGCCATACTAAGCAATTTAGCAAGACCCTGTCTCAAAATAAAAGAATAAGAAGGACATAGGTTATAGCTTGGTGGTGGAGAGCCCCAGGACCACAAAAAAAAAAAAAAAAAAGAAAGAAAGAAAAAAGAAAAAGTCTAAAGGACAGAGAGACCTTGTTTTTCAAAAGCTTAAAAATCAATCCAACAGTTATATTCTGAAACTGAGAGAATTAAGAAAACAAGGCAATAGAATGAATTTTTTCAGATTAGGCATGAGAAAAATGTAAACATTTTTTTTTCAATGAGGATGTAGAACCCAGCACTTGACTTATGCTATGCAAGTGCTCTACCACTGAGCTGCACCCCTGGTTCTTAATCTTTCCTCTTGATAAAAGGTTTTTAAATGTGGAATAAGAAAATAATCATGGGCAATATTAAATGCAGCAATAGGAACATAAATGGAGCATTATTATTAATAAAAAAGGATTAAACTCTAGATTTTAATTATATTATTTTAGTAACATGTTACTGTTTTCCTCTGGAGGGAATCTGATACCATGGATTGGGAAGGCTCAAGACCTAGGTCTTCCAGTTCCTGGTTATGGACTTAATCTGGCATAATCCCCCTGAGATTTGGTTTCTTCACGGGTAAAATGGGGACAACACACACCTGTCTCCTAGGATTATTGTAAACCTTTATGGCATACAATGCACATGTAGTTCCAAATAGGATGACAGCACAGGCCATCCACTTTTTCCCCCCTCTTTGCTTATATGTCCTGTTTTCCTAAAAGAATCTATTTTAAATATTTCCATTTCAAACTCTTAAGTCTTTCTTGGTAGAAATATTTCTCTCTTTTAATTTCCCAAGGTTAAGAAAAACAATCTACCTACAAACTAATGAAGCAGGTATATAAGAAAATGAACACAAGCTATCGTTTTGTATGTCAAAACTGTGCTTCTGGGATGTTACATGTGGTGCATTAAAATAGAAAAATATAGAATTTCACATAGGCATAGATCCTTAAAAATCAACTACACTTATAATATGACCTACAAATTTTAGTCAATATACTAAATAAAAACATTGTTTAAAAATCAAGAAGTCTTATAACTCAGTAGTGTTGATTTTGAGGGAAGAACTTCCACTTCAATCTTTGTGAACTTTATTTATAAACCATACAATACTGAGGAATGCACAATGTTGTTTTTATTGTAATATTCTGTTGGCTTCTAGGATGAATTGGTGATGTCATCAAATTAAAAATCACTCAACATATTACTCTGCATTAAAAAATGACAAAATCATAGAATTTGCAGGGAAATGGATGGCATTAGAGCAGATTATGCTAAGTGAAGCTAGCCAATCCCTAAAAAACAAATGCCAAATGTCTTCTTTGATATAAGGAGAGTAACTAAGATCAGAGTAGGGACAAAGAGCAGGAGAAGAAGATTAACATTTAACAGGGATGAGAGGTGGGAGGGAAAGGGAGAGAGAAGGGAAATTGCATGGAAATGGAAGGAGACCCTCAGGGTTATACAGTGGAGGGGGTAGAGAGAGAGGAGGGGAGGGGAGGGGAGAGGTGGGGAGGGGGGAGGGTGGAGGATGGGAAAGGCAGTGGAGCACAACAGACACTAGTATGGCAATATGTAAATCAATGGATGTGTAACTGATGTGATTCTGCAATCTGTGTATGGGGGGAAGGTGGGAGTTCATAACCCACTTGAATCAAAGTGTGGAATATGATATGTCAAGAAATTTGTAATGTTTTGAACAACCAACAATAAAAAATTAAAAAAGAAAAAAAAATCACTCAACATATTAAAATACAAATCTTTATTCACTGGAATTTAATTTGAAATGCACATGTAAAGTCTGTCAGCTTTCTAAGAAGTTATAACAACATACATAATAGATATTAGGTCAACAAATAAAACAAACAAAATTTTTAGAAGTCTCCCCACAATTTCATCTTCCAGACTTTGGGGGGTAGTAGTAGAAATTAATATCCAACTTTTTCCAGTCATATTCAGAATTTTCCTGCTCCCTAGGGGGAAAAAAGAGAAAAGTCTCCACAAGTGAACACATTCATAATCTAGATTCTTTCCGCTCAACCTAATATTTGCATTATTAAAATACAGTGATGAAGATATGTCTTCTAGGGAATACTTTGTACCTATTTGTAACCAAACATGAATTAAAATATTTTCCCCCAATTCACTTTCACCATGTCATAGTCATCATGGTTGGTCTATATGACAAATGCTGAACTTCCTTTCATTCTAAAGAAGAGAAACAGCTCTTTTCACATCATCAGCAGTTTACTTATGAAAGATCGTCAGTTATTTATCACTTAAGCATTTTATTGGCATTTATGAAGTTGCCATTCCTCTAGCTTGTACAGTTGGTATTACCAGGAAATGAGGATTTGAAGACATGGAAAAGATAGGTAATGACCAAAAAAAAAAAAAATTTTTCCCTGATGTTTGTGCTCACACCCAGGACCTCACACCTACTGGGCAAGTGCTCTACCACTGAGCCATGCCATCAGCCCAAAATTAAAAACAACAATAAAAAATCTTTCTTTCTTTGACCTTTCCTCAAGTTCTTCCTTCATGTTTTGGTCACTGAATAGGACATCAAATGCTTCATTTCCTCCACGTCTCTGAATTAAACCCACCTGAATCAATCCCAGGTAGTAGTAGGTAAGGAGCTCCTTATTTGTTTTTGTTTTTTTCTCCCTCAGTCTGCTCTTGCCAGGCCAAGTACATTCAGCACAGGTGGTCTCCTAGCAACCTTGGCTCCTGTGTCAAAGCACATTAAAAGGTTTAATTGGACCTTGAGGTACTGGAGGTAGTGGAGGGGTGGGGAACCTGCCTGCAGAAACTCTAAAATAACTTTCCAAAGTAGACGGGAAGGAGATGTTGAAGAGTGGACTTTGGAAAAAATGGGACATTTTAATTTCATTTCATCAGACTGTATGGCTAAAACCTAACATTTAATAGAAACATTCAGCTGACTTCTAGAGTTTTCCTGGCAGGGCATACATTCACAATTTTTAAAGAAAAAAATTCCTAAAAAAATATTTTAAAACAAATGCTTCAATATCTTCCTGGCAAAACAATACACACACACACACACACACACACACACACAAAGAAAATTTCTGTAATGTAAGAAAGTAAGTAACTCATCAGATTGTATCACTGATTTTTAAGTATTATAAGTTTTAGGATTTTGTATCACTTTCAGAAATAAAAAAAATGGAAGAGTGAGTTTTTAACAACAGTCTTTAAAATATGACTGCTATATCCCTCAACCAATTCTCCTTTGGCTAATCTATGCTAATTGAGACAGAGCTGGGAGGGCCCCATTCCCCAACTCCTGCCTAACACAAACTTCTTTCAAAAAACATGTTTCCACCAATGACCAGATTCGGGACCTGTTGATTCCTCATCCACACTTTCCCACAACCCCCACAAGAGCAGTATGCCTGAACTTGACCTCTATATGACCTTCCTGAAGTAGGGGTTATTGGCACCTCAACTGTTTTTTCCCAGCCTATTGCAGAAGACCCAGTGCACAGGAGCAGATCCCCAGTGTCAAGTGCTGCTCCCAGTGCTGAGAACAAAGAACTGATAAGACATGTGCCTGCAGGAGCCCACCTTTTTGTCTGTATAAGCCCACCCTTGCTTCTACAAGAGTGCACCTGGAAACCCAAACCCCTGTGCTACTCTTTTTATGCTCAGTAAAGCCTCATTCCCATGGTGTTGCTTCCCTCTTCATCATTTCTGCCTTAAATAGAGCAAAATAAGTCTAAGCTGAGCTGGTAACAGGAATGGCATGCTGGGAGCCATTAGCCAAGTAGGTATGACAATTTCCTTGCCAGCGTACCCCATGTTGCTGACATGTTGCAGCGACATTGAATGTAGGTGACCTTGCTCAAGGACCAAGGCAGATTAGGGTGTTCCCGGTTTTAAGATAATCGTGTTTAGGGTGTTCCCAGTTTAGGTTCCAGGTTTAAGGTTTAAGATTATTCCTCCTGGGAATAGGGCGTATCCTGCTGCCTGAGTTCCCCTTGAGTTCTCACGGGATTCAGACAGTATATTTTGGAGATAGAAGCCCAGTGGAGGTGGATTTGGGCAGAGAACGTGGATTTGGGCAGAGAACGTGGATTTCCCCAGAACGTGTTTGTAGACGGCTGGTGTGAGTTCGGGAATAAAGAGTTGCTGCTTGAATCTACAAGCTGTGTGGTGGCTCATGATTGTGTGCCCAGCCAGACTGCGGCATCTGTGCCCAGCCAGACTGTGGCAATGGCATGTCTTAAATATAAAGACTTTGAGCTCAAAAGCCTTCACTGCAGTCCTTTTTGCCTTGCCCTGCCCCCCACACCACACCCTTTCCTGGTAAGACTTTTTTTTTTAATTTAATTTAATTTTTTTAATCAATTGAAGTACAGGTTGAATAATCCTGATCCCAAATGATTGGGACCAGAAGTGTTGCAGATTTCTGAGTTTTCCAGATTTGAAATTGTTGTATATACAGAATGATATATCTTAGGGATGGGACCCAGGTCTAAACTAGACATTCACTTATGTTTCATAGCCTGAAATGTAATTTCATACAATATTTTTAGTGCACCTGTGGTTTGACTGCAACCCATTGTATGAGGTCAAGTGTGGAATGTTCCATTGGTGTCACGTTGGTGTTCAAAAAATTTCACACTTTGGAGCATTTTGGATCTGAGGTTTTTGGATTAGTAATGCTTAATCTGTAATATTATACACATAGAAAAGTAGATAAAACATAATTGAGTAAGTGAATAATAAGTCATAAGTCAATAAACCATAAACTTAAGATTATTACAAGATAAACACATACATCATATCCATCAGGCATATCCACTGTGTCATTTTCATTATAGGAAAAAAATTAAAAGCAACAATAAGAAAACTGGCTAAATAAACTATGAGTTCACCACAAATGGAATATCATTGTCCATTCAAATGATGATTATTATCAAATAAGATCATGTAAATGCTACTTAGAAAATATTTAAGTGTGATTATAACTCATAGCCACCCATTACACTGCTAAGTACAACCTCTAAAGTAACATCAGTCTATCTGTACCAGGACACACATCCAAACATCATTCATAATATCTTCAACTTGGAAACAACCCAAGTGCCTATTAGTAGTAGGTAACCTGCAGCATAGTCACACAATGAAATATTACACAGTAATGAAAATTAAACTATGGCTACAAAACAGGAATCTCACAAACATACTATTCTATTTTTTAAAAGCAAGGAACAAGAGAAAACACACCACTTAAGTACTTTTGTATAAAGTAGAAAAACAAGTTAAAGGGCATGGTTCAGGGTGTATGTCTGAGTTGCCATAGTATCAGTGGTAAATTATCAAGAAAAAAACAAGATTGGTGGCCACAAAATCAGGATCATGGTTCCTAAGTGAGGGCAGGGGAAGGGAAAGGCTGGAGCTTCATTTCTTATTCTGTATGGCTACCCTGGCAATCACTTTCAACTGTTTGTTAAACTGTGGGTAGAAGTTTTATGTGCTCTTCATAATAGAAATAATAATTTTTAAAAGAGAGGAGAGAAATACATACAAACATCAGTATGATCCTACCAGTTAAGGTTGGGTGAAGCTGTTCCTATTCCTCATGCCCTTTCTTTTAGAAGGTGGTTGTCTCTATTATATCAGAAACTACAGAAAGTGGTCCTATTGCTCCTGGTCTTCTTCCCTCTTCATATATTTATTTTTTAATTATTTATTTATTTTTTGGTTCCAGAGGTTGAACCCACGGGTGATTAAGCCATTGAGCCACACCCCCAGTCCTTTTATGTTTTATTTTGAGACAGGATCTCTAAGTTGCTGAGGCTGGACTAGAACTTGTCATCCTCCTGTCTCAGCCTCCAGATTGCAGGTGTTTGCTACCACATTCGGCTCCTCTCCATTTATTTAAAAGTAATTTATCCTGATTGTAACTTTCTCTAAGCAATTATTTTAACAAACGTGAATCAAATAAAAATTACATTTGTCAATGGAACATTTTAATGAGAATGTGTAATTTATATGCTCAACAACACAAATCTTTCACTGAAGGACACATTCCTGTCTCATTCGAAGTGCTCATTAAAAACAGGAATTTGGGTAATTCCTGTTTGGTTCTTCCCCTTGTTACTACGTATGAATCATTGGAAAGCACAAGTTTATATCATTCCAAATTTGTTAACAAACGCAGATTTCACTGATGATTAAAATTGTAAGTATCACAATATTCTTTAAAAAAATTTTTTTGTAGTTGTAGATGGACAGCAAGCCTTTATTTATTTGTTTGTTTGTTTGTTTTTATGTGGTGCTGAGGATCAAACCCAGTGCCTCACACATGCTAAGCAAGTGTTCTGCCACTGAGCTACAGCCCCAGACCAATACTTTGATTTACATTCACTTTGACAGCTAGAATCTCAGTAATCAAGTGGTATTTCTTCAGGATGTAAGGGAAATTCTTTCCGTAAAGGAAGCTATTTAATAGCAGAAATTTTCAGGAAAAAAAAAATATTTCCTAGTGTTTTTATCTAATAAAATGTGCACCAAAAATATGCATAGAGTTCAAACAAATTAGAAGACTTTAAAAACTATGTTAGAACTTATTAAATGTGAATCTCTCAAGACATTGGTTTCATCTTGAATGCAGAATTTTAACATCATAGTTAATTACAGGTATGGACCATAGTTGTGGTCCATACCTGTAATCCCGGGTACTCAAGAGGCTGAGGCAAGAGGATAACAAAGTTCAGGCTATCCTGGGAAACACAGGGAGACCCTGTCTCAAAAGAAAATAAAAGGGGAGGTGGGTGTAGCTCAGTGGTAGAGCACTCATGTGCAAGGCCCTGGGTTCAATCTCTAGTACCAAAAAAAATAAAAATAAATAAACATAAAAATAAAATACATCTAGGTGACATGACTTTCAATTTCTGCTATAACATGCTTGGTTATTCTGGGACAAGTGTACCTTATATTGAAACTTCACATGATCACGTTTTCCCCTCTCATTTGAATGTGGCTCCCTCTCTTTTCCTCATTTCCTGAGGCCACTGTGAGTCAATTTATTATTTTACTTATTTATTTAGGCACTGGGGATTGAATTGAGGGGCACTTTACCATTGAACTACCAACCCAGTTCTTTTTATTATTTATTTTGAGACAGGGTCTCCCTAAATTGCCCAGGCTGAACTTGGACTTGCATTCTTCCTTGTTCAGCCTCCAGAGTAGCTGGGATCACAGGGAATGCCACATACTCTGGCCCAGTTCATTATTTTATAGAAGGTCATATTGAAAGTAGAATCTCTCATCTAGTTTTTAAAACTTTACTTTTTTCTTAACTTCATGAAGATTTAGGTCCAAATAATCTAATTCAAATTTACCTGTTCATTGTTTATTGGACAGCTGAGTAGTGACATCTCACACAGTAAGCTAGACAGTAAGCTAGACAGGTAGACAGGTGGAGAGTAGCAATAACTCTTGGTTTCTAGGAGCTGGACTTCATGGTATTCCTTGTTCCTCACTCGGCCACCAGCCCTTGCCTTTGTAAGCTTTATTATCTTATTATTTTTGTATTAAAATGTTTTCCAAATCAGTCCCAACTCCTGGGACTACAAGAATAGTATGTTTTCTAAATGGCTTGATCTCCT